GTAAATAAGAGGAGGCCAAACTTCCTTCACAACAGTGTAGGAGACTTGTAAAGTTTTTGCTGTTAAATGTGCTTCTACAAGCTACCGAGTCATGGGGTGTACTGAGCTTTTCACACACTGCGTCTGCCTTTTGGCTTCGTTTTTATGTTGTTGTTCATCTCAAGTTGCACTTACCTAATTTGAAAACCTTTTAAGGACAGATGCATTACTTTTTACCCGATCTGTGCATTTCCTTGTTATTTATCATCATTTGATAAACTAAAATTTCTGTTAGGTTTGAAGTTTATTGATCAATGTTAGCACTCTTGCATTTCAGGTAAATAGTATAACTCATAAAACTGTCAAAACACATTTCACAAACCTTTTAAATTAGGTCAGTAACAAACCAGCACACTACCATTATTGAGACAATAGTCTAAAGGCTCTGCAGTGTTGCTGTGTCGTGCTGCTTGAATTCAGCAACACGGCATTAATCACTGTCCAGTAATGTTTGCCCTGTAGTGTGCAGGAATGTGTGAATTGTCTTCTGTGTAAAATTTGTTTGTGGACACCTCCAGGTGCAGTCTATCATGTCCATTTGCTCTACAATGAGCTTTAGGTCAAACTTCCTGTGTATGCGCTTTCTTATTTTTAGTGCTGTGCCACCATCATCTTTAGCTTTAGGAGTTCCATCAGCATGTAGAAGAATCAGACAGAGCATAAAATTACCTATTTTTCAATTACATATGTTCAGAGAAGGAGTGGAAAGTAGTGCGTTGAGCACTGAAAGGACTGTGGCCGATGATTTAGATACATGTTCGCACAGTGCCAGGGACTCGGCACTGAAAGCAGAGCCAATTCAAATATAGCACACACTCTTGGGGAAAAGTTTCCTTGAAAAACTTGATTTATGACAGTCCAGAGTGATTCAGTGAGGCCGCATGGCGTGATTAATGCAAACAGATTTTCTTAGGCAACACAGTAACCTTTGCTCAGTTGGCACATGAAGAAATCCTTTTTTTTTTATTTTTAAATTTTGGCTCCCATTTGACCTCATGAAGTAAAAGCTCTGTCTTCATGTTGCTTGCAGAAAATATTTCACATAGGGCACACTATGAAAATAGAATCAAATTATACAGTCAACATTACATAAAACAGAACATCATGTGCTCATTTTTGTTTACTGAATAGAAACCAGTTATTTTTTAGGTCATTGCATCAGCAGGAGAGAGCTGGCTGTGTAAATCTGAGACAGCTCTTTGAACAAACAGTGATATAACACTGTTCAAATACTGAGAGTATCACAATGTGCTACAACTGCATGACAGTTCTGAGAACTCTTGGCTAATTTTGGTTCACATGTACTGAGGCAAGTCTCTGTTGAAGGGGTGTATGCATTACCCTGTGGGATGTGGAGTCATGTGAAAAACAAAGTTTTTACAGGAATCTGTGCAGTCCTGTGAAAAATGCCCCACCATTTAGCAGCAATAACTTGAATTTATCATTAGTTCATTTTCTCACTTTATCAGTCTTGTCACTTTGTGGAATTTTGGCATGCTTTTGTTTGCAGCGTTGCTTCATTTCAGAGGTTTGAGAACAGCTCTCTTAAAGTTACACGGCAGCATTTCAATCAGGTTGAGGTCTGAACTCTAACTGGCCTGTTGCAATATCGGGTTTCTTTTCTTTTTCAGCCATTCTTTTGTAGTTGTCCTGCTGTGCTGGGAATTGTTGTCCTGTTGCATGACTCAATTTGAGCCAGACTTTAGCTCTCATACATTTGACTGTAGAATATTTTGGTATACAGAGGAGTTCATGCTTAACTAAATGAATGCAAGGTGCCAAGATCGTCACCCGTATGATGTATTTGTGCTGATATGCTGTGTTTGGTTTTCACCAACCATTGCCACTGCTGAGCATTGTTGGTGAAAACCAACAATGCTCAGCAGTGTTGGTTTTCACATAGTTACAGTTATCTTGTGGTTTGCACAGATGCAACTTTGCAAAGCTAAGACATGCTGACCTGTTCTTTTTAAGAAGATGAAGGTTTCTGCAGGCAACACTTCCAAACAAGGGTTAGGAAAGGTTACCTTCCAAACTCTTACACCCAGTACAATTAGAAAGACTGACCTGGTCATACTATTGTCTGATCAAGGGATGAATTTGTTGTAATGCACACTCCTAAGTGTACATTAGTGTCCTTAGACTTCTTTAGACAAACAAGAAAAAGAGGCCTCAGATGAAATCCTCAGTGGAGGAACCAGGCCGCATTCTGATACTGATATGCTGGAAGCTAAAGAGACCCTTACAGGTAACAAAAGCTTTCCTAGAAATACTCTTATTGGCATGAAGTACTATGGATATAGTGGGTTGAGCCCCCATTTTGCTCTTAGATCTGCTTTAATTCTTCATGGCATAGACTCAATAAAGTGAAACGTTCTTTCGGGCGACCGTGGCTCAGGGGGTTGGGAAGCGTATCTGTAACCGGAAGGTCGCCGGTTCGATCCCTGGGCTCTCTGTCCTGGTCGTTGTGTCCTTGGGCAAGACAGTTTACCCTGCTGGCCAGAGGGGCCAATGGTGCGAAATGGCAGCCTCGCTTCTGTCAGTCAGCCCCAGGGCAGCTGTGGCTACAACCGTAGCTTGCCTCCACCAGTGTATGAATGCGAGAGTGAATGAATAGTGGCATTGTAAAGCGCTTTGGGTGCCTTGAAAAGCGCTATATAAATCCAATCCATTATTATTATTTAGAGAGCATGGTCCATATTGCCACGATAGTATCATGCAGTTGTTGCAGACTTGTTGACTGCATTTCCCAAAGATGCTGGGTCTTTTGGATTGAAATCTGGTGACTGGGACTGCAGGTGCTATTTGAGTAAAGTGAACTATGGATACTGGATGCCTGTGCTGGCATTTCTCCTGCGGTGTTGCTACCAGTGTGTGAAGAGTGGGAGAAGAGGGTTGCATTGACAATCCAACACAATGGGCAGCATTGAACACATTTTATAAGTGGTCAGAAACTTGTAAATAACTCATGAAAGAATAAAGTTACATTGAAACCAAGCACACCATTGTTTTTCTTGTGACATTACCAATAAGTTTGATGTGTCACATGGCCCTCTTCCTATTGAAAAAACAAAAGTTGTATCCAAGATGGCCGACTTCTAAATGGTCACCACCCATCTTGAGTAGTTTGCCCCCTCACATATACTAATGTGCCACAAACAGGACTTTAATATCACCAACCATTCCCATTTTATTACGGTGTATCCATATAAATGGCCCACCCTGTATTATTTAATTAGTTCAGTCTTATTACCTTATTGTCTTGGAGCAACTGTAACCCACATAATTTCCTTAAGGATTATTAAAGTATTCTGATTCTGAATAATGTTTTTTTTTTATCTTCCTGGGACCACAAATTTCACACCAATCCATCTTCTGACTGTCTCAAGTATCTCAGTCTGGAACAAAGTGGCGGACTTCCTGCCATCTCCTTCGTCAGAGCCTGAAGAACTCAGAACATCAGTAGAAAGCTAAACCTGTTCTGGGATAGCTTTCTATAAAATCTGACAGATTTCAGGCAGAGATGTAAACACTTAAACTATCTGAGAAAATATCTGCATTATTGTGTCTGCAATCAGCCCTTCTGCCATGGGAAATGTTAGCCTGTTATTGACAAACACAAGTTCCTAAAGAGTGAAGACTAGGATCCCTGGAAAGGTTTTACTTGAGCACTTTAGTCTGTCTGGAGATAGATTACAAGGACGTCCAACTTGTGGAGCCCTTATTTAGAAACACCTCAGGATGAAATGAGATATTAGCAGCATGCATTAGTAGAAATCCAGGTCAGAAGTTATTTCTAAATCTTGAACTTAATATGGAAAACTCCCAGCTCTGTGCCAGCCGACATCTCGTGTCCTGGGGTTTGCATGCTTAATTGTAATATTCAAACATATAGTTCCAACATCCTAAACTTCCAACAACTGAAAGCGTCAGTCTTCAGTGAGCACACACAAAGGCTGACATGGACACCAATACTCAGAAGCTGTTTCTTCGATCATTCCCTTGTAGGATCAGATGCAAGAGGCCAAAATGTCCCCATTCAATTGGACTGCAAAACAAACAAACTGTGCCAGAGGGTGCAGAGAGGACATAGAAGTGGCTGCAGATTGCGAGGAAGGGTCGGATCGTTCGGCCACGTGCTAATGTTGAAAAAAGATATCTAGCCTTGACAGGAAGTAGAGCATGTGGCTCAATTATCTTTAACTGGATTTTCTCATTAAAGTCAAATCTTTCAACTCCAAAGTCTTTTTTTTTCTTTTTCTTTTTTTAAGAGGCGATCAAATTTGGATTTGATGACAACTGCAGAAAAGGTATTGACTTTGCAAACCTTGTGTGGCTTGGAGCTGGTGGGGGGGGGGGGGGGGTGGGTGGGGGGGGGGGATCCAAAGGCCTTGAATTGCAAAAGAGAAAAGATAAACCACATTTTAAACTTTGGCATGTTGAACAGATGCAGTCACCGAAAGCAAAACGCCCTTCTGCAGAGATTTAAAAAAGATTTATAATAGCATCAAACTGGTAATAACCTAAAATTAAGATCTTTTAGTAACACATTGAATCAAAGAAAGACCAAACCCCAGTCATGTCTTTAAACCCCCCCCCCCCCCTTTTTTTTATTAACAATGAAACACTTTTTATCAGACCTTCTGAGCTGTGTTTAACAGTAATTGCTACTACACCTGATAAATGAATGTTGCTGTTATTTTCCAAGCTACTCTACCTAAGAATAAATGCAATTTAAGACCTTTAAAATTTGGTGCTTTTTACTGTTTTAAGACCCACGGCCACTGTGAATAATCTTTAACACTTACCATCAGCTGCCTGGTAATATTAGTCCTTCAGCTGCACTTAGCAGCAACACACAGGGCGCCCCTGTGCAGTACTGCACAGAGCAAACACCGCCATCTGCTGGGGTGGACGTGGTTCAGCTGGTCACTAATAAGAAGAGCCACCACACGCTTGTATCAAACTAACATCTTCTTTTATTTGTATTGAAGGTTACAGAGCATCAGGTCTTTTTGTTTTCCTATCAAAATAAGTAAATCAAAATTCAAGCAAGAGTTCAATAGCTTCTTGGGGGATGGGATAAGTGGATTTGTACAGTAAACATATGACAATATTTAAGTTTTTAAGCTTTAAAGTTTTCATGTGATGCATCTAACCTGGTCAGTGTTTCCGTTTGAGATGGATGAGGCGAACGCTCTGATGCATGACTTCTCGGGATGTGCCTTTTGACATGTTACTGATTCAGTGAATCGTTTCAGATCCATTTTTAATTTTTTTAATTAATTTACTTAAATTTTTCTACAGGTGTTTGGTCCCAACAACACATATATGTCCGTTCGTGAATCAAACTTAGCATCTACTCTCTTTGGGAATGCAAAAATATACAATCACACACGGGAGAACTACACAAAAAACAACAAAAAACCCCCAGTTAATGATCCTCCAGGGTCTTTCCCCACATTGAAAACTCAGTCACAGCGTGGTGTGACTGCCTGTACGTGTGTTCGTGTGTTCGAGTGTGTCTTAAAGATGGGGGAGCACAGATGCTGATGCCTGGAGATGAGGTGTGAAGGAGAGAGGGCTTGATGAGTCTATGATCGCTTTTTTCTGCTCTCAAAATTTCTGAAGTTGGCCGGCCTTATCTTCATCTCTGCAAACTGGATCGAGTGTTCGTGGCCCTTCCAGTGGAACCAGTTGATCCCCTGTGGAAAAAACAACAACAACCCCCCCCCGCCAAACAATACAAATCATCAGCTTTTCCTAAACTGCACATCCAGCAGTGAGCAGGGAGCAAGTTTCACTGGGAAAAATCTGATTTTCTCATTAGATAATTCAACTGCTTATGGCTCGTGTTATGGTTTACCACTTCATTTTCTGCGATGCGTGTGAAAGCGTTCGTACCTTACTGTGACTTTTGTCGCCATATTTCCCCATGAGGTTGACACGGTGACAGTTTTTATACCAAAAGGCGCCTTTGTAGGACAAGGCGCAGTTGGTCACAGCGATATCGTTATCATTGTCGTAAGTGGAGAAGGGCCGACCCTGGTGGTAGGTCATGGAGTCACCTGGTGGACAAATGAGTATTATTCAGTTAAGGCAGTCTGATGAGCTTAACTGGATTTGTCAAAGTGACTTTTCTTAGAAATAATTTGACATTCTAGGAAATACGTTCAGTCTATTGCCAAGAGTTTAATGAGAACATTCGTCACTGTCGAAATTGCACGATTTAAAATGCAGGATTAAATTATGTCTTTAAGGAAACAGCTGTGAGCTTGTTTGTACTTCAAAAGATAAACCCAAGGTTTTAAGACAGAAAACTTCTTTTGAAAAAAAAAAATTCCCCAAAAAATTCTTTTGAATTATTTGTTGTTGTTTTTTAATAAACTGTGCAGACAAAATGTGATCAAAACGGGAATAGTGTCACATTTTCTAGTATTTCCAGATTATGTCTTTTTTCTTCTTCTCCAGTGCATTCAATACCATTGTACCCACAATCCTGAGGGACAAGCAGGAGTACACAGGTGTCAACCAACACCACGTGGATCCTGGACTACCTGGCAAGGTAGTCCATAGTGCCATCAGTATGTAAGGATCCAGAAGTGTGTGTCTGATAGGGTCTTCTGCAGGCGCCCCTCGGGGAACAGTTCTATTCTATTCTCCTTATACACCACAAGACTTCACCTGCAGCTCTGATCACTGCTTCCTGCAAAATTTCTTGGATGACTCAGCAGTTGTTGGTCTGATAACAGGGAGTACAGAGAAATTACTTTGTTGACGGGTACCAGGAGAACCGCCTACAGATCAGGTACAAACATCCTCGACTTACACCCGTGAACATCCAGGTAATGGATGCTGAGCGCATCGACTTATATAAGTACCTAACACCCTAACTAGACTGGATTAACAATACAAAGGCCATCTGCAGGAAAGGACAGAACAGGCTGTATCTGCTATGGAGACTCGGTTCTTTTGGAGAGCAGGGGCATCTCTTGAGGACCTCCTATGACTCTGTGGTTGGATCGACCCTCACTTATGGTTTGCTCTGCAGGGCAGCAGTATCTGCTCTGGAGACAGGAAGAAAATGAACTGGCTGATCAAGAAGGCCAGCTCTGTTCTGGGATGCTAGCGGAGGTGGTGGGTGACAGCAGAATGATGGCTAAGCTGTCATCCCTGCTAGAGAACACCTCCAACCCCCAGGCAGGTCACCCTGACAGCACCGAGCAGCTCCTTCAGTGACAGGCTGCTGCACCCACGGTGTGCAAAGGAGAAATATCCGAGGTCTTCCTTTCCAGCTGCTGTCAGACTGTACACGTGAAAATGCACCACACACTGTACATATTTCTGAAATGCCAAGTGTATCACTGTATCACATCTACATCTACATATCCATATATATATATGTAAATAATATTTCTTCTGCCTTGTATAGTTTACATTTGTCTTCCGTTGTTGTTTCATCTATTTATTCCTGGTCTCTTCGTTCTGCTGCTCTAGCAATCTGAATTTCCCAACAATGGGACTAATAAAGCCTCTTATCTTATCTGGTTTTATCTTATCTTTCGTGGTGCTTACGTCTGAATCACTGAGTGTCTCAGGATCATAAGATTTTATGTCCCTATATTCACTTTATTAAACTTTAAAGAGGGCGATATAGCTGCTGAGACAGTTGTGTTCAGTGCAGTGCCCTCGTGTCTTGGCTCAGACTCACTGATCCGGATCAGTGGGTGTGATCCAGACCTCTGTGTGTTCATATTTGAATCAAACTATCAGCCAAACTTTTACAAAGAACTTGTGAGCACCAGTGGTGTTTCTCCATTTCACAGCCAAAAGCTACATTCACGAGTGTTAATATATGACGAGAATGGAACATTATTTTGACACAGGAGGAGTTACGAGCAGAAGACGCGCTGCGAACAATAAAACCTTTTATGAAGTTTCCATTTGTTTTGACGAGCCAGCTATTTCACGTGGTTATTAAATCCTTTGAAGGTGATCAAAATGCTCTTTTCAGGGATTTCTCCTGTGTCACCAGAACAGATCGAGCAACCAACAAAAGTGCTAAACAAAAAGAAAAATTTATATTGTGACACTCAGAGTGAGTGTTTTTTTCCAACCTGGATTAGTGTAAACTTTCAAGCAAATACTCTGTAATTGGCTGTGAGTCAAAAAAATATTGACAGTATAAACATAAAATTTGGCTTCATTAAATAAACTAGACAAAAAAAATCTGCTTATTCTGAGAGGTTCAACTGAACTGAGCCTTTATTACACTTACTGGAAGGAAACAAGAGTGAATACCCTTCTCTTGTCTAACGTTAAAGTACAAAGTTAATACTCGTACTCCCCAACATGTCAGGCTATTTCATTAAAGTGATACCAACCTGCTGTTCCACTATATGTTCCTATGTAGATTTTATAGCGTGTCCTTGGCTCTGCAATTGTGAACTTGTCATATTGCGCGTAGGCGTTCTCCCCGTTGTCCCTCAAGTCCACTCGCAGCTCATAATGGCCTGAAGATGTGATTTTATGGAGGTTGGAGAGACCTACAACCCAAGTTTAATATGTGTGAGTCAGGAGGGCAGTGAGTGAGGGAAAGAAAGCAAATACGGCTCCAGAATGAGCGAGCTTACCCAGCCAGAACTCATCGTTCATGTTACCAAAGCCAGCCGTGTAGTTCTTCCAGTTCCTGAAGAATTCCAGCTTTCCATTCTGGCGTCTGAGGAAAACCTGAAGAGTACCGACTCTCATGAGTGTCAAAACAGCTTCACGACAATCATAAGAAGCTAGGCTAAGGCCACTGTGGTGCTGTCTATCATTTGTCATCAGAAAAACAGGTGCCACATAAGCAGAATCATCAGGATTCAGCTTGAATAATGGTGTGAAACGGGCTTTATTTGGATTCCAGAAGGCTGATTTCCTCACCAGCCATCCTCCGCCATCTGTGGTCATGTCACAGTAAACCTGGATGGGCTGGCTCTCCTCTCCTCCAATATAGATGGTATACAGACCAGCGGTCGTCTCTCCGTTCAGTAATATCTGAGCACAGTCCCGTGGGCGTCTGTACAACTGTCCGACTGAAAGGCACATATTAAAAAGGCATCGCGTTAGAGACCCTGAAGGATGCGCTCACTTATTTTTCGTCCCTGTTAAATAAACAAAGCATGAGGCTGTATATAGCATCCTGAGAGAGAACTACGGAACGGGGGAGGGCCAAACAAAGGAGAAAGAAGGTTATTCCATCTGGAGCTCAGACAGAAAGAAAAACAAGCACAGGTGATCTGGCTCCAATATCAGTGCAAATGAAAGGAATGCACATTAGAAGATCTCTTTCTAATGTGCATCTGGACTGTTGCATAACAGCCAAACCCTTCACTTCTGAGAAAGCAGCGACAAGTCCAGTGCTCCCAATTTTCAGCTATACGTACACATTAATTAAGAAGAGGTTTGTGTGTGTTTTAATGCTTACGGGTAGTGAAGACGGTGGCCACGTGGCGACTCCTCTGGGCTCCAGCGGCAGCCTGCAGTCTCACATTGTACTCCGTGGAGCCAGTGAGCTGCGACATGCTGTAAGATGATGCTGTTGGGCTTAGCATCACCTCCTGAATTCATGCAAGACACACACATTATTTACACCAATGGCATTTCTTAACTGATTACTATAGCGGCTCGAAGTGCAGGACACAGAAACATTTCAGAAAACATGACAACACCATGAACATTGGAATGGATTGAACCCAAGAGCATTACGATGGGTTGATGTCATTTCCTTGTTCTATACTATTCCCTCAAACTGAAAGAAAGAAGACGAGATTGCAAGCGTAAGGCAATATTTTAACAAAGAACACTGATAAGCTGGATTTCATAAACTACAGATGGTGAAAAAAAGGAGAAGGAATCCTGCACTGTGTCTGTTTCTGTTTCAGGGCATGCAGCTCTTGGAAATCATCCAGAACTCATCATGATATCATTTCTTATTGTTTGTGTTTTTTTTCTGTTTTCTGAAATGTTGTGCAAAATGCACATTAGGACCTAACAATCTATCAGAGCTCCAGATTTTACTTTTTAAATTTCACAAATAAAGGTTTTCTCAGCAAAGAAGCCTTGCAACAGCGATAAGAAAAAAAACCCTTTTAACAGGAAGACATTGGCAGACTTTGTCTCAGGCAAGGCAAGGAAACAGGACAAAAAAGTCACTGTGGAGAAGAGTAACTAAATGCAAAATGGAGAGTGAAAAGAGAAATTCTCAGAGCATTATGGGAAGCCCCCTGCAGCCCAGGCCTATTGCAGCATAACTAAATGATCGGAAACTTGCGCTTTCAACGACAGTTAGAAAAACTGGAGAAACACGGCAAAACATATCTGTTGTCAAACGATGAAATGACACGGGCATGTACGTACCCTGATTGTTCCATCAGCAGAGGAGAAGCTGAGCATATATCCAGTGACAGCAGCATGAGATGGTCTCCACTTCAGAGTGGCGCTGTCAGTTTGAATATTCATAGCTATCAGATCGCGAGGAGGGTCCACATCTGCAAATACAGCATCACATTAATCATTCGGTACAGCTGATGTGGTTAAGAAATCAGCGCATGTTGCTTAAGGTTATATTGACGCTGATATACTACATATAAAAGATAGACAGAGACGTGGGAAAACCAGATGTTTCTATGGCAGGATTTTTTCAATCACAGGCAGATTCACCTCGAAGAATAAGCTACTTTTAATCTTTTTTTTACTCTAATGAGGCCCCTAAATTACAAAAACAAGACTTTAAATTAGCAAATGAGACCATAAACACATCAGGAAACTGTTCATAATATGGCTCAGAAATATGGGTGTAATTAAATTGAAGTTTGCTGTATTTTGTTTGAAATTACAATGTAATTATATATACAAATTCTTAAAGCTAGGTACACCAGAATAATGTGGTAACAAGTCAGTCTTTAACAAGAAACAAAGAAATAATTTTAATTTGTGGAAATTGAAGTAATGTGTAAGTAATGTTAAGAACTGCTACAGTTACAGAAAATGACATTGAACAAATTATGGTTTCGGGGCTGGAGTCGGCACCAGTAATGGACAGACAGCCAATTGGATCCTCCGGCTCAGTGCTGGTGAAATTGTTTTGGGTCTTCCACTTGACTTTTTTGTTCCATAATCCTCAGGATCATTTAAGAAATTCCAAATAACTGTCCTACTGCGTCCCACCTCAGCAGTGATGGCGCACTGCGAGAGATCCTGGTTATGCAGTTTAACAACCCAACTATGTCCAAAAAAGGAAAGTTTTTTTGTCTTTGCCATGAGAACGTCATCACAGTGTGACTACCTGCCAAAAAATGACAATGAATCCACATTTTTGCACAGATTTGGCCTTTTAAAGGCATGTGGTCCTAAACTTTTGATCAGCTGTAAAGCAGCCTGCTTCAGTTTAAGCGTTGTTGTCAATAAATTGCATGCTCAAAAACATGTTTTGTCTCACTCCCATTTCTTGTTGTTGCATATTGAAGTTCTTCTTGGAACCTTGTTAAGATCCAACCATGCAAAATAGGATTTTCTGCCATTTTTCCAGTGGTCTTAAACTTTTGACCGGGACTGTATAATTAAATTAGAATTTCAAATAAAATACAGTGAAATTCCATTTAATTCCAGGGAATTACATCTTTAGTAACAGGCCATATTATAGAGTGTTCCCCATCTTTTATATTAAGCAATACTTTTATACAATCTGGACATCTTTCTGTGTTTACCTGTGGTGAATTCGGTAACAGCAGAAGCACTCCTCTGAGCTTCTTTCATAGCATGAACTCCCACGGTGTAGTGGGTTGCTGGAACCAAGGAGTTCATCTCAAACTCCACAAAGTTCCCAGAAACGTGTTCCACTGTTGGGGACACTATAGGGCAGGAATTAAATTATGCAATCAATACAAAGTCAGTTAAAATGAACAGAAAGCAAGCTCGTTTAAACTCAGAGACACACCAGAATCAGCACTGTAGGTAATGATGTAGCCATCAACAGTGGCGACAGATGGTTGCCACAGCAACAGGGCCGAAGTGTCCGTGACATTGATAACAGTAAGACCACGAGGTCTGTCCAAACCTGCGGGGCACGAGGAAGATCACAGAGAAAACGTGTGGGGTCAGTACATTTTTAACTGACTCCAGTATTGCCGGAGTCAAGGCTGCATAAGAGAAAAAAGCCAACCTGTGGTCACAGTGTCTGTGCTGGGGTCACTTTCCTCCAGACCCTTCAGAGCACTGACGGTTACTTGGTACGTCTTTCCGGGAATCATATTGGGAAGCAAAGCCTCGAACACGCTGCCATCTACAGTCAATGTCATTTGGCTTCCTGTGGGGGAGAGAGAACAAACACATGTACTATTGATTCAAAGACAAGCTTGTCAAGAGGTGTCAGATTTTATCTATTGGTGTATTTCCACTGTACTGAACAAGATGTACTAAAGCTCTTCACGTACTTTGTGGTGGGTGGTGATAAATGTTTGAGTACTGGAGATTGAGGCCAAGAGAAGCCTTTGTAAGGCTGAGATAAATGCTTACGTCAACTAAAAAATGACAAACTGATTGCAATCACAGTGCGCCGTATTGCTAATGATAGTGTATTACTTTCATTACTCAAGAGCATGGTCCTATATTTTATGATTTATGATGATGAAGTGAGCTTCCTCAAAACTAGCAGCTGAAAACAAATTTGCTCTTGCTCCAAACTGCATGTCTGTACTCTGTAGATCAGGATTTATTGCATATTTCATTAGTGGACTCCATTGATGGATATTAAATATGGCTAAAGTTTCTAATAATGTGGTCAGTAGATTTGTAAGTAATCCCTGTGAGTCAAAGGCTCAGACTTCAGACTGCACAAAACGCTGTGTGTCTGCTCTTGAGTCTCACTGATTGCATAGCGAGTGGCTCGATTAGCAGGTTGTGACAGTTTAAACAGTAACCTTACCCACCTGCTGAAAGAAAGTTGGCTTAAAGGGAAGGGACCTTCTTTCACAGACTGGGTGAACTGAGGGGCTGCATCAAGTAAATAACTATTATATTGAACTGAATCATGCACAACTACTCTGGCAGAGTGGATAAAAAAATATTGAGCTGGAAATTGGTCTTCTTAAAAAAATATTTTTATAAGATGAAAAATCTCCAAGTAGTGCAGTGCCAATAGTATCAAATGATGTTGACAGTGAGACGTTCCCGGTTAGCCTGAGCAGGTATTTTACCTTGAAAAGGGTTTATATTTCCTTTCTTTCTGAACTTTGATATATAGCTCCCTCTTGTACAGATTTTGCATTGACAATAAACATATTGCACCATTTTTAGAATAGCTCGACAACTATGTGACTCTGTCACTGAACTATGGTAAAAGGTTGACCAGTGATTGAACCAAGGACATGCTGTTAAAGGCCTTAATTTCATCTGGTGAGCCCACTAACCAATCAGCTGTCAGAAAGAAAGGCAGGATGAAGGGCTATAGCAGAAGCACAGGAACTCTGTACAAGCAGCACATGATAGGCATGTGACTTGAGTGCAGGCGTGCAGCTTTGAGCAAGAGCAGAACAAATCTGCATACAGGGAGGGATCATTTCAGTTCTGGGAAGATCACTGAGTAGCTAAAGATGAAAATGAAAGCACACGTTTTCAAACAAAAGAACCATCTTCTTGAATAAAGTAAAAGAATTTTCCTCAAGATATTTACAATGTTTGCAATCTTAGATTAGCATGTTAGAAGTTTTGCTCCTAAGCCCGATGGGGAATGTCACTGACATGGATTTAAAAAATCATGGAAAATTTAAGTTTTCCAGAGACTAGGAGGAGTTGATACATTTTTTCAGATTTATTGAAAAGTGATATCTATAGACTTTTTGATATTTTATACATTTAAATGTATAAAATTCATTGTTTACTGGACCAAATGTTTGCCAGTGTGACGCCATTAGCATGGTAACGCACCAGAAGTACCAACAGAACATCAAAAAGATTTTAATTCACTATTATCTTGAACGGTGCATTAATAAATAAATAAAAAACCTCGACCAAATAAGCATTAATAAATGTCACTGATCTGTACAGAATTAAGAATTCATCACACCTGTGAGTCAATGTGCATTGCACAGCAGTATTTTAACAGAATGCCAGCCATTACTGTAGTTCGAACAGTATGGAAACATCAGTATATCTGATGAACACGGACACAACAACGAAGCTAAAATTAAAACTGTTTAATTAAATTCAACCTTAAATGTAACTTGTATAAACAATGATTGACCTCTTACCTCCTTCAAATGGCACATAGGTGATGCGGTAGTTATCCACCGGAGAGCGAGGCATGGACCAGTGAACTACGGCTGAAGAGTCAGTCACTTCAGAGAAGTGAAGTCCTCTGGGAGTGCTGAGGCCTAGCAAAAAGCAAATGGATTTGCGCAGAGAGCAAAAAAGCAAAGTAAAAACTGTAAGTATCGTAAGTAAGTATGTGAAAACACAGTTTTTCCCAAAAGGACGTTTTTCGACAGACGTGAAGTTTCAAAGAAACCAGAGGAATAAAGATGATTAGTGGGACACTGGGTTGAGTTCTCTGAAGTCGAATGTCGCACTGAAAACTCAGAAAGTTTGGTAGTTAACATGAGACTGCACACTCTACAGTTTTTCAGTATACCTGTCTGAACAACCCCTGTAATAGGTTGGGAGCGTCGATCCAGTGTGGCACCGTAAAGCTCGATTTCATACTCGGAGCCACCCATAAGTCCGGTTATGACCTTGGTTCGTTCATCGCCACGGACGCTGTGCTCTTGAGGATGGGCTAACCTTTTGCTGTCTCTTATTTTGATCACAAATCGGTCAAACAGATCTTCATTGGCAGTCCACGTCAGACGGAAACTGTCAGCTGTGACGTCTGAGACAAAGAGATGCTCCACTTCTGGCTCAGCCTCTGGTTAAACAGGGAAACATTAACGTTGCAGCGCGTCTGGTGATTTCCCAGCAATATTCATCACGTTCTGAGAAACACCCATAGGGATCAGTTTGGAAGAGGTCAGAAATCGGGCAAGACAGGATTAGGTTCCAGCCTGAGGGCCTTCTTGTCCACCGCCACCAATCTGCCATGCTTAGGTATCCATTAGTGTTAATCAGTAAAAAATACAGCGCATGGACTACAGAGGCATACGCTTGAATGAAAAGACAAGATGCTTTTTGTAGATGTCAGTCAACAGAAGGATTCTTTCGGAAGGATTTCAGCATACACTTGTTGAAATGCGTCCTCAAGGCCAGCCTGGATGCATTCAGTGCATTTAAAAGTAATGGCAGGTGACAAACGAGATTAGAAGCTAAATCAACAGACATTTCATGCTCAGAATATCTGCTGATTTATCCGTGTTTTCCTCCATATGAAAATGTCATTTTCGATTGAGTGGTTCATATCCATCCAGGGAGTTTGAACCTGATCTACAAACCAGCCTCACTAGGGAGTAACATGGTGCAATAATTGGATTTTGTCCATAGATATCTGTCTGACTATCAGCGATTAAAAATGCGAAGGAAAACACATTTTAAAATATGAAGACAAACAAATGTGCTTGCTCATATTTTGGAGGTAAGAAGAAACAGACGGGAGCTCAACACCTCTTCCTCTCGGTGACACAGCTGCATACCAAGGAGATGCTTAAAACCAAGGAAAAGTGAGGTCATACTGGAAAAAAAGGTCATCTGAGTTAGGGTTAGGTAAGAGTACTGAACTGAAGTCTCACCATCAAAACGTGGCACTGAGTTAGATGTATCCGTCCTCAGGCTAATTTTGTTACACAATGTCTTTTGTTGCGTGAAATGAATATCAGTGATTAGTAAATATCACAGAACTGCACCAGGTTGTGATAGTGAAACTGCAGAGCTGAAATGGTTATAATAGTTATACACGTATACACCCATGGTAGCTTCAACAAAGTCAGACACTGGACTTTGTAGTAAGACAGGAGGGCTTACAGTGCACTGAGTTGTACCTGTCACAGCCACTGCAGTCAGAGGCCGAGAGAGAAGCCCTGACTCTGACACCCCTGTCAGTCGGACCTCATAGCCTATGCCGGTAATGAGGCCCCCGATGTCCAGGTGACTTTGGTTTCCTGGCACAGTGAACTCCTGAGCCTTCAGCAGCCAGCCAGAGTCTGTCACCACTATGTGGAAATGGCTGAAGCCACCACTAGAGGGGGTTAGATTATCCTGCGGTAGCTGATGCTTCACCCCCCACGACACACGGAAGCCATAGGGGGTTATGTTGGAAATGGTCAAGTTTTCCACTTTAGGCAAAGGAGCTGAGAGGAATGTGGGTTTAATTGAATGGGAGGAAGGAGTGTGTGTGGGGGGAGGGGGAAGGGCAGGAGGGGGACGAGACTTCATTAGGAGGATAACGTGTGCAATGGTTGCAAAAGCAAATACAGACACAGTTCTTTTACAAGGTAATAGTTATAGGCCAAAACACACTAAGGGCAAATCTAGCATGCATCACAATTTAGTACTTTGTCCTCACACTATCTAAAGTGGCAAACACAGAAGTGCTAAAAAATGCAGTTCCTTGAATGGCCACTTAAGACTGAGTTAGAGCACGAAACAAATGCAATTTTGGTGTCTTTGTGTATTGGTTTTCTTCATGACAATTGCACGTACGTTGCTCACTTTGACTGGCAGATATGCTGACACAGACGGTTGTAGCCAGCAGCCACTTAAGGCCCCAGTAACACAGTCCTAGAGACTTCTACTGGCAACCAATAGTTGCTGAGGAAAAAAAGAAGTATTCCAGTGCTGTTGGAAGTTGAAGCCCAAATTACATGGGTCTTAGAGAAAAATGCAAATTCCCTAACTGGTTTTCAGTTGGTTGTGGGAGGTGTTATTCCCTATTCCTCAATGCTTAATTGAAAGCCCCCAGTAGCCAAAGCTTCCTTAACTTGACCTGACCCAAACTATAAGGTTTTAAGCCTAATAAAAGTAGAGTAAGTGTCTATATACTGAATCCAAACTGAGAGCTGGTTCCATAGTAAAGTCTGATAGCTGAAGGCTCTGGTTCCGATTTTACTTTTGAAAACTGTGGGGACAATTTTGAGAGCAAAATGCTCTGTTAGGGTTAAAATATGTCAGGGCCTGAATATTCATTATTGTTATTTTGCGCATGACGGGAAGGATTTTAAATTCAGCTCTGAACAGACAGCCAACAAAGAGAAGCTATTATGGGAGAAATATCCTCTCTCCTTCTCGTCCTAATGGGTACTCTCACTGCAGTGGTCAACTGAAGGTTTTTGAAGGAGCTTTTAGAGTGACCTGATTATAATGAACTACAAAAGTCCAGCCTGGAAGTAATAAATGCATGAACTAGCTTTATCACTCTGAGACAGGATGATTCAGAATTTAGCAATATTGTGAAAATGAATGTAAGTAGTCCTCTACATTTGTTTAATGTGCATGCTGAAGGTGCCTCACAGTGTTACTGGAGGCCAAGGTAACGTCATCTAACACAAATATCTGTTTTAGGAATGACTACAATAACCTCATTTTTATCTGAATTTAAAAGTAGGAAATTAGAGGTCATCCATACCTTTAAGTCTGTAGTTTATATTTAGATAAACCTGGGTGTCATCTGCATAGAAATTAAAATGTATGCAGTGTTTCCTAATAATAGGTATGTAAATGTAATTGGTCCCAGCAAAAAATCCTTTGTGAATAACGTCTTTGTGGGAAGAAGACTAGCCATTTAGTTGAATAAATTGGAGTCTATTTGAGAGATACGAGCTAAATCACTGCAGCATTGTAACTTTAATACCTGCACATGTTTTAAAATATTGCTGGACTGAGGTCTGACAGGACAAGCACAGAGATGAGCCCACTGTCAAAGGCCATAAAAAGATCATTCAAAACCTTTAGTAGCTCTGTTTCTGTGCTATGATGCACTCTAAATCCTGAATGAAACTCTTGAAATAAACCATTGTTTTGCAAATGACCAGTTAACTGTTTGTCAGCTACTCTTACAAGAACTATTTTGAGGCCAAACAAAGATCTTCTAAATTAGTAAGATAATATTTCCTCTCTAACATTAACGTGGCGCGTGGGAGGGCTCCACTTTGAGAGAAGCCACTAAAACCTAATAAAAAACTATATGAGGCTGTCATTTTGAACAACTACATGGATGTTAAACTTGCCTGAAATAATTGTTTTATCTGAACTTTTTATAAATCAGATAAAAAGTCAAAGAAATCAACTTCAAATTCTGAGGACAAGCCAGGTGGATGATTATTAACACATAAAAATGGTTTATAACTTCTCCGGTTAGGGTGGAAAAGGTTAAGAGTTGGGTTTCTAAATTCTGTCTAGCTCTTTGGTTGTTTAATAAGTTGGAGTGAAAGATGGTTAAAAGGTGCATGTATCCATTACAAGCTGTTAGCGTATCCTAAACGATTATCCTTCTTTCTCACTATTTGAATGACCATTATTTTCAAAATGGGCGTAAAATATTCAGAATGGCTTGAAGCCCAAGAAGTTTTAAGTAAAAAGGTTTATTGCACTCATACAGGAAGAGGGCATTGTGCCATTTTCCTATTGAGTCTTGAGGCTTTTTGAAACGTGATGGTTTGCCCTCTGGTGGCCATTAAATAGAATGCAGGTTTAAAGCACTTCCATACTGGTTTCCCTAGTCAGGGGTGTTGAACTCCAGGCCACAAGGGCCGGTGTCCTGCAGGTTTTAGATCTCACCCTGGGTCAACACACCTGAATCAAATGAACAGCTCATTACCAGGCCTCTGGAGAACTACAAGACATGTTGAGGAGGTCGTTTGGCATTTAAATCGGCTGTGTTGGATCAAGGACACATCTAAAACCTGCAGGACACGGCCCCTCGAGGCCTGGAGTTCGACACCACATCTGTTTTAAACTGACTATGAATGTTTCAAGCATCAACAAATGCTTGCTGATTATGAGCGTCAGAAAAAAAACCAAAAGCTGCTTGTGATGCATGTCCGCTTTGCTCTTAAGGTGTTTTGGGATTTTGACCTGCATATTGAATTCATTTAATTATTCTGCTAAGTTAAACTGATAAAAGGAGCTAAATTCCTTTTTAGTTTTGGTGGAAAAAAGTATACTTGAAGTATTAGAATAAAAGATATGAGTAAAATACGTAGTACCTGTGACAGCGTGGGCTAACACTGTGGGGGTGTGACGCCCATGAGAAATACCGTATAGTTCAATATCATAGCCTGTAGCATCCATCAGGTTAGTGACTGTAATGTTACGGACATCACCAGGCAATCTGAACTCCAGTGTCTCAGACTGCTGCTCAGAATCACTGACTCGGATAACAAAGCCATCAAAATGACCTGACACAGTGCTCCAGGACAAGCTGAGGTTATGTGGACTCGCAGATGAAGCAGCTATGGGCCCCAACTGTGGGATGTCCTCTGAATAAAAAAAGAACATGGCTTTTCAGTTATGTCGTCCTGCATACATGTACATAACAATGTAGGCGGCATGTCCAGTGTCAAGAAATGCAAGTCATGTGATACCTGTTGTAGCTACAGCAAATAGGGGTTGTGTGTTCTGGCCATCAACACCAGTGGCATACAGCTTTATGTTGTAGCCCGTGCTCGCTTTGAGCCCCGCCATTACTGTGGAGCGCACATCTCCAGGCAGAGCGCGCCCCATTGCCTGCGAGGGCAAAGCAGACTCTCTGACTTCTACTATAAACTTATCAAAAGCCTTCTCTCTTGTCCGCCAAGACAGAGAGAATCTGTCTGAGGTAATGTTAGAAACAACTAGCTTGGACAAATCAGGCTCTTCAGCTACAGGGGAGAGAAAATATAAAATATATGCATTTATTAAAAAAAAGATAACACATGTATTTGTCACTTTAAAACCCAAGTCAACTTTAGAGTGAAGGTAACAACAATTCTCTTGGAGACTAATGATTTGATACACATAAAACCGATTACCTGTCGATGCAACAATACTGACTGCACTCGTTCTGGATCCCTTGTACGTTCCATAGAAGTAGGCTATGTAATCAGTGCTGGGCCTGAGCCCTGTGACATCATAGGACTTTACATCATGGGATATGTTATACTCCTTTGGCTCCATCAGCCAATCAGAATCAATTATCTCCAGGACAAAACCATCAAACTCTCCTTCAGTGCCATTCCAGAGGATTGAAAAGCTCTCTGACGTTAAGTTCATGATATATATTTTGCCAACCACTGGTTGATTCACTAAAGAAAGAAACCATGATTAGATTGTCACCAAGGCATTTATGCAGAAAATGTTATTATTAAATGACAAGTAAATGATTAGAAATTGATCTTTTTCTAGAAAGGAATACATTTAGCGTTACGGGACGCTCACCACCACCAACAGTAACTGTTGACAGTCTGAGAAGCTGTGATTAAATACATGCATGTATTTTTTTTTGCATTAAACGCAAAGCAAAAATCCTGCACCACAGTTATTTAAACACAATTAGATTCAGGATTTTTTAAACAGAAACACAATCTTCACAATTCTAACTGTGGCTGCCACCGCAATAGGTTTGCAATACACAACCATGAGGCAACTGAAGCACAGACTTTTCAAATTTAATTCAAGGGGAACAAGAATGATGAGGTAAATATTAAAAATCCGCCCGTATCCTGCATTCCAAAAAAAGCTGGACCACTTCTAAAACTGAAAGCGTATGGAGATACCCGATGATTTCAAACATATAGAAACACCGTAAAACACAGTGAAGAGAGTATGTACAGCCATGCATGGTTTCTAAAGCTACCAGGCCAGACGTGTTTATTGCTAATGTGACCGAACACAGAAGCAGCTGGACAATTTCTGAAGTATGCAGAGCTTTATTGTCTCTGGTGATTCAGCCAAATGCAGCAAAGCTGATTGGATAGCATTTTACGGAGAATACTATGAAAGCAATTCAACTCAACATTTAAAAAGCACTGCGCATTAAAATGGCTGTGATTTCTCAGCTGTGGCAATGCAGCATTCTTGTTTCACCTTGTAAATTAAAGTTGAAAGTCTGTGTTTGAATTGTATCCCAGTGTGTCCCTTAATATTGCTTGTAGAGCCGTGTTCAAAATTAAGAGAATTGTGTCACTGTAAAAATTTTGGAAACCAAATATACTCTTTTCTTTACCTTGAATATAAGCAACATGTAAAGCCAAGGAGAGAAACTCAAAAGGCCTTCAAAATTACCTGCAAGTTTGAGTTGTTAATCACTGACTTAAATTTGAAAATGTGATTAAGCAGATTTCATGCACATGTAGCATGGTTTGGGCATGTTAATGCTGATCAATTCAATGCATAACGCGGCATCAAAGCAATTCAAAGCAGATGAGTTAGAGAGCTAGTTAAACTTCATTTACATGTTGCAGGAAATATAGTCCTTACATGCAAGCATGCACTAAAAACAAAATTCAGATGTAAATCGAGGTGATGCTACTGTTAGCTTCGTTTTATGTTATTAGCTTTTTACCTTGATAGTGACAAGAAGATTTAATCATTTGCCACCTAGCAGTCCAAAAGGAAATGACTTGTGTTTACTTTGATGTTCCGTGAAAATAAACTTCATCAGAATCCACAAAACCACCCCAGCGTCATTCACACAAACTGAAAGATGACATGGATACTCACGCATACTGTGAGCGCTTGCACATCGACGGGCAAATGATGGGTCATGGTTAATCAATTATACGCTGAATGAGGGCTGATGAGATGATATGAGATTATCGCACTGTTGCTGTATGACTGGCGGGGGAGGCTGAGAGTTATTGGTTTGCTTTTGCAATCATTGCAGCACATCAGCGCCAGACCGGACCACGATGCAGGGATGGCAGAGGGGGGCTTCATGCACTTTGGGATAAGGGGATCAGTCGGAGGTAAGTCAAGGGGTTTGGGTCAGTGATGAGGCACATGTACGCATCACCCTGCCCTCTCTCAGCTAGACAGAATCAGTGGCTGGAGGGTGAGGAATGGTAAACGGCATGTTGGTTAAGATGAAGCAGTAAAGTGCACTGTGTCCAGGGTGTTGGACATTGAGGCCATAAACAACAATTGCGTTATTATCATGATGTTCTTGTTTCATGCTGCGAGGTGAAGATGCTCCATTGAGAGTGAGACAACAGAGCTATTTATGTGTATGCTTCACAGATGTTGACTTTAGTAGAAATTATTCATGGAAAAGAAGGACAGTTTAGAGGACAAAAGGCTGCAACGCTGCAAGTTGCAGGTACCTGTGGTGGCTTCACTGTACACAGGTTCAAGGAAGGAGCCCTGATACATCCCATACAGGCCAACCATGTAGCTGGTGTTGGGATTCAGCCCAGAGATACCCAGGCTCAAAGCGTCTCCGGACAGAGTGAGGTTCTGGCTCTCTGCAAAATTCTCCAGGTTTGTTATCTCAATCACAAAGCTGTCAAAGTCCCCACTCGTGGGGCTCCAGGATGCAGTGAAGCCATCCCATGTTATGTCAGAGATGGTGAGGTTCACCACCATTGGCGTCAGCATCTCTGGTAGATAGACATATCAGACTGGGGTCAGCTGGACAGGAAGATGGATTATGCATTTCATTTTAAGGCGAAAAAAAAAAAGTACATCAGGAGTATGAGGAGCACAGTGGGGGAAAAATCTCAGATTTTGAGATAAAATTGCAAACACTTGAACACATAAAAGTGATGATCACCTCTTTCATTGAATTTTGAGTGTTTTAATCATCCTTGTTACATCTGTGGTGCCATAGCAAATGAATGGGAATACACTCAACCTCCCCCCCCATTGGCTGAATGACCTACTGAACAACCAACTGTAGGGCCCACTCAACTGAATTTCGTGGTGAAAAATGTTTGTGTTAATTTAAAACAGACCGCTCAATTTTGACCAGGAACACTAAAGTAAGGGGGGTGGGGTGCACAAAACTGGAGGGTTAAATTCTCCCCATCTTCTTGTCCCACCGAAGGGCGGAAAATGTGTAATTGGTTCTGTTTGCTTGTCTTTTGTCTGTCTGCCTGTTTGTTAGTTAGCAGTCTAACATCAACAGTTATCAAGATATTATTTTGAAATTTTGTCAAATGGTGGATACCAATAATAGCTTAAGCACATTTTTGGTGAAGGTCAAGGTCATGCCATATATAAAAAATCAGTAAAAACTTAATATTATGCTGAATTTTTTAAGGATTGGCTTAAAACTAGTACCTAGATTGGCTAAGCATTTGACCTTGACCTTTACTATTAGCGCCCAAGGACAAAGTTAAAATATTTCAAGAAGCCATATCAAGTAATATATCATATGAACATCACAGGCTGACATCATCATGTTGTAATAAAAACACAATAAAGCATCAAACTTTTAGTATCGTAAGAGTCCTTTGAGGGACTTGTGAAATAAAATAAAACAATAAAATAAAATTCCTAAATATTGAACAATATTAAACTCTAATCATTTTAATCACAAAATAATTTTTCAAAAAAGTTTTACACTCTTAATTAAAATGTTTGATATTAAAGTATTGAATGTTGTATATTTGATATATTGCAGTATACTGTATATTTACAATATATTTGACATTAGAGTCAAAATTGAATACTAATATTTAATTTTGAGTTCATTATCAGAATTAAATAACATATTCTTAATATAATTTGAAGTATTCTAACTTTTAACAAATTCTACCAACAACATGTTAGAACTTTCCTTCATTTGACATCACTTTTATATTGTTCGTTTAAGTTCAACTAAAAACAACTTTCAAAATTAGAAGTCTCTTTGTTAAATGCACATTAAATCTCAAAATCTCAGATTTTTTGTGGACCTAATACTTTGTTGTGAGGATTTAAAAGTTCAGCAAAAGACAAGATTAGATCAATGAGGATTATCTTTTACAATAAAACATGAAGTATCTGTGGAAAAAGAAATGATTGAACCATTCTGAAATGTTCAGACATAGGAGATAAAAGATATGATGATGATGGATTGAGATGAAGGGCTACAATAAGAAATATTTGTTCCATGTACCTGTAGTAGCAAAAACTCTGAGAGGTAAAGATCGCTCCCCTTCCACCAGCCCTTGCAATGTAATATCATAGTGTGTAGCAGGGGACAACCCTTCTATTTCAGCCTTCCTCATATTTCCTGGTACCGTGGTCACACGAGGTTGCGTTGTTGCTGACGGAGCAGTAAGCTCCACCAAAAAGCTATCGAACGCCTCATCGGGCGCGGACCATGCCAGCTTTACACTAGTGGCGGTAACACTGACTGTGAGATCCCCGAGTAGGTCCAAGCCTGAGCTGTCAGGCTCGGCACCGGAGCTTATCCCGCCAGAATCAGAAGTGGAAGTTACTTCATTATTTAGAGTATCGAGGATGTCTGGGTTTTGAACAGCTTCATTATCCGGAACAGACTGTGGGAGCGTTGAGGCATCTTTGATACTCAGCGTAAGCACATCTGGAGATGTGGGCTTGGGTGCTAAGTGAATAAAAGAAGGTTAAAGAATGAATTTCTTATTGGCTCTGCTGGAAACTGTAAAAAGATCATGTGAAGAAAAACAATGGGTTAACATAAAAATATAATAATTCTGCACAAAATGCTGTCCTTATTCTACCTGAATCATGGATATATTATGACGGCTAAATCATCAAGCCATTGCTAAGGCATTAATGACACCTGAAGCAGGGTCATTAACTTTCTGAAGACTCTGCATAGTCCACTGGTGTGAAAGTATACAGTTGTCTTCAAATTAAGTTGAAGCCATGCACAGCCACGTTCTTTCGGCTTTTGTAAAACACAACTCAGGAGTCTTAGTCATGAGACATGCAGGCGACCTGGTTTAATTTGCTATTAGAGAATCACTCATCTCTCTAAACGGGGTTAATGATGGGACAAGGCTTTAATTTAAAAGCTCAGGTACAAGAAGAAACTGGGACAACCAGCTCAGTAGAAAACCAGTGTGCTTGATAGCTTTAATAATCCAGGCTAGACACTGATGCCACTGTGGATTTCTTCTTGCATTTGAACTTTGGGAACCAAAGAATCAAACGAGATGGGTTTTTGTAAAAACAGAGACATTTGTTAGGTTCAAATGGACTCATGCCAAAGGTTATGCAGATGATGGTTTCAGTGGAAAAAAAAGTCTTGTGAAATCTGGGAACAAAGAATCCAGCATGCAAGCCATATCAGTCTGGCCTCTAATCAAAAGCTTCCACTGAAGGAAGAAGCTGAAAAACCCTAAAAGAGAGACTTATACCTGTGATTGCAACAGCTTCAAGTAGCGCAGCTCGTTGGCTACCTGTTATTCCATAAAGTTTTATTAGATATTCTGTCGATGCCGTCAGGCCATGGATTCTAGAGCCATGGGCATCTCCAGGAAGTTGAACCTCTCTCATGTCCCACAATCGCTGAGTGTCTTTATATTCTAGTGCAAAACTATCATAGACACCACGAGCCTTTAGTTTCCATGACAGATCAAATCCATCAGACGTGACACTTGAGACAGTCAGCACTCCAGGCTCATCCTCAGGCTCGGTCCCAGAAAACTGGGACTCGGAGGGGTCTAGATACACAAAGCTAATGACATTGTCCTCCAAGCCTGTAGGAGTCGCTAGCTCACGGTCATCTGAGTCAGCTAAATAAAATGTGAAAGAGGCTACAAGGAAAACAAGAAAATCGAGAAAGCATCGTTTAGTAACAGATGAAATAATAGTTTCTTGGTGCTGGTCGGGAGCAGATTTATTTCCAGCCAGCAAATCTCTACTTGTATTTCTAAACATGTACACAAATGATCATTTTCAAGCTTTCAGTCCTGGTTGCCTTGGTTACAAAGCTGCGATTAGCATTATATATGCAAAAAACGCAGCTGTTACTATAAACCAATCTTAATTAATTTTAAAAAAAGAATAGGAGATGGATCTTTTTACAGTGGAGAGCAACAATCTCAGGTTGTCCAATGAACAGTAAGATAAAAGAGAATTAATGATGCTGACACCCCTGAACTCCAACAGCTGAACCTGCCTGTAGATCCTTTTAACTTTAGCTCCTCGAAGAAATCCTGAAGAACGTAACAGAGCCTTTAACTAAAAATGCATGCGTTCTTATTCATTCTATTCATTTAAACTGTGGAAAAATGGTTCCCTACCCACCTGTGGATGTAGACAGGGAGACGGGTGTGCTCCTTTTGTGCCCCCTCTCTGCAGTCAAGGTAAGGGTGTAGCTCATCCCAGGAGTCAGATTGGGCAAATGATAGGTAGTCGTTGCAGCTGGGAACCCCACCTCCCCAACCTGACCGTCTCTGGAGATGTACACCAGTCTGTATCCACTGATTTTGGCCTGAGGTTTCTGCCACTTGACGCTGAGAGACGTCTCTGTGGATTCAATTTCCTCAAAATCTCTGGGAGGATCAAGGTCTGACAGAAAAATGAGGTAGATAAACAGCTCATTAGTGTCATTTCACCACTCAATTTGTATCAACACATCCTATCTGTCTGTGTGTTTATGAAGCGGTGTGAAGGAGGAGTGTTTGGACAGCTGTTCAGCAGTGTCTCTCACCAGTTGCTGCGTTTGTGGTAGCTGGGAGGCTTTCTCTCTCATTCTTCACAGCAGTCACTCCAATCCCGTACTCTGTACCTGGCTTTAGCCCTGCGGTGCAGAAAGACGGAAGCTAAATATCCATGTTGGGTGACAAATGCAATTCTGGATATTGCATGTGTGTGGTCAAGCTTAATTTGTATTAATCCATGTGATACTTACTGGTGATGGTAGCCTGTGTGCTATCGCCTGGTCCTCGCTTGAACACTTCCTCACCATGAATTTCCCCAGAGATGGGACTGTATTTTACCCGATAGCTGCTAATATCAGCTTCACTGTTGGTCCACTCCAGGGTGATGCTGTTGTCTGTCTGGGACACAGTCTGAAGGTTCGTGGGGGCATCCAGTGCTTACATAAACAGAGTTTCTTTCATTAATTATGTAATGACTTGACACTTGTTGACCTACAATCATACAATAACCTTAAATACATACTAATACAACATTAGACTGCTCTAGTTTGTAGTGTACAAATGCATAGAAGTCTCAAAATATAACAATACAGTGAACCAAAACAGAAAATACAGTTATTATCACAAGACAACCTGTAGTGAATGTGGCAGTGACAGGGTCACTGGTGATGTCTCCACTCCTGGAAATGAGCGACACTGTGTACTCGGTGTCTGGCCTCAGACCATCAATGCTATACTGCTTGTCTGGGGGGGATATATCCACACGATTTTCATCTGAAGGGTCAGAGCTGGGCATGTAAAACATGGTGATTCCATCCATGGGAGCCACTGGCTGAGACCAGCTGATCAGAGCCGAGGAGTCCGTAATATCCTTCACCTCCACCTGCTGAGGGCTATCAATCTCTAGATTGGGCAATTTGGTAAGAGAAGGAAAGTTGGATGAGATATAGAGGGGAGAAAAGATGCATGAAGAAACGTGATGTCATCTAACCACAACAGAGGTACTGATTCACTGAAAGACAAAAAATGTGAAGAGTGGTAATTGTCCTAGAAACTGATGCATCCAGGGGTTCTTTATTTCTAGCTTAATATTCAAACATAATAACTTATTTGTAATCAATGTAAGCTGTATATTTGGCTCTATTTAGCTAATTTTGCTAATCATGCTAACCTAAGCTGTTGAGTATGGTGAACACTTTTACTAAAAATCAGCAAGTTAGCACTGTCAGTGCAAAAATATTAAGTATCACTGCTGGTTTCCACTTTGGTTATCCTGAAGATTAAAGGTATTTCGGCATCATAAAGTCATAGAAGATGCTAATACATGTAGCTTGCTAACCAAGCAACTGCTTAGGGTTTCAAATATGTTCATGTTTGGCTAAAAAAACAGCACCAAATCGGTAACATCAATACCAATTCATGGCACCGCAAGCTATGTCCATCTCTTCTAGTGTCATCTTGCAAGCTAAAAAGTACCTTTCCAAAAAGTTATGTCTACCTTTGGTGTCAATAAGAAGAGAAATGTCTCTAACAAAGATTTAATCAGTCTCTGTATGTGTAATTCATTATCTAAAAATACACAATACAAATTCACAAAGAAAACCTGGATAAAGAGATGTTAATCGTTGTTTTGTTTGTACGTGTTTAAACATAAAATACATCTTGCATAACTCAACTTGGATATCAACCACCACAACAGGAAAAGTCATTATGAAACATAATGTGATTCCCTTTAAGTCTGACGTCATGCCACTACCTGACAAATCTCCTGTGTTAACATGTGGAGGAGACATTTTTCCTCCATATTTTGGATCCATGCTAAAAAAGGACCACTGGGGGTACAAGGGTATGAAAAGTTTAACCTCGCTTCTATCATTCCTCTGTGTCGACTTTCAGCCTATACAAATAAATGACATCAGAAACAAAACGGTGTGATACCCAGAGAGTCCATCAACACAGTCCTGTTAACTAAATGATTTTTCCATGCTCAAAGGAAGTTGTCTGGCTTGACGTGCCATATTGATGGCGTAAGGAACTGGAACCATTTCATAACTTAATGTATGGAGTAACTCGGCAATAAAAGTTTCTACGAGACAAGGACGAGAGCTAAGAGCAAAAGATTTATTGGAAGAGGAGAAAAAAACAACTATGACATGGATATGCTATGCTCAGCTTCAATTAGTTTGAGTTATTACTCTTTACCCTGAATCTGTTAGATGGACTATGGAGAGCCACCTGGGATTTCTTCTTGTAGTTCTTCTTTTCTTTCTTCACTCTAGCTCACATTGCAGACACAGTCAAAGTGCAAAAGTACTAATAGCTGCCACATAGTGCAGGAAAATTAAAATCTTCTCTGACTCTAATGTGATGATTATGGTCGAGAGTTGATGATAGGCAGCCATAAACTGCATGACTGTAAATATTCTGTGTGCAGGAAACTCACTGGTAGTGAATGTTTGGGTTGTTTGGGGTCCTCTGGTGTTGTTCTTGATGATGTTGATGGAGACTTCATACTCCTGTCCTGGTCCAAGCCCTGATTGGAAGAATTGGTTCTGAGAGGGTGGAAGGGTGCTTGAAACTTTTCCATTTTCTTCTTTCTGTAAAAGTTACATAATATGCAAATCAAGTTAAAGTAGAAAATTTACATTAAACTTGACTGCTGTGAGAAAATCAGCTTTTGGCATTAAAACATGGTGTCTCTGTTTTAGCATTTTCATTACCGTTTAGGTTATGCTATGTTTAGTGTACCGCAGGCAGTATATTTCTTCATGCAAGGCACAAAAAGGCAGGAGCAGGAGCTTGAAGGTCAGAAAAGGACAACACATTTTAAGGCTACAGAATATTAAAAGGACTTATCAGCTGACACATTCATTCCTTTTCGAAGAGTTGGTTGGATTTTGCCTTGGTATCTCAGCAGCAGTTTTAGCCACAGTTCTATAACATCCCTCACTTTTCCATATGTCAAAGCAAATTTAATGGTTACCACTAAAATAAATCCTTGTATTGCTGAGACTTTCAATAAGCTGTCGTAGCTTATCACCTCTGACTTTTCCCCTGATGGTTAATAAAATGCAGGCAAGTCCTCAGCAGAGATGGGGAGACTCACCATGTTGCGGAAATAGATCTCCCAGCCATCAAAGGGGATGTCCAGCTCGTCCCAAATGACCTCGACTGAGGTCTCTCTTACTGATTTGAATCTTAGCCCTTCTGGCTGCGGAAGGTCTAGGGGGGACAGAGAGAGAATTAATAAATGTCTAGTATCTTTTTCTAACCATATTCACAGCAAATGAACACAGAAACAAATATGGCATACCTGTGGCCACCCGTGCACTCACAGGGATGCTCCTTTTGTTACTCAGAACAGCGTAGACATTAATCAGATACTCAAGACCAGGCTCAAGCTCTTTAACAGTTGCAGCGGTTTTGTCTCCCGACACAGTGAACTCTTGGAGAAGACCGCCAGGAATTGTGGGCACATATGTGACGAGGTACTCTGTGACCAGCATCTCATTGTTCCAGGACAGGCCGACAGTCTCACTGGTGACCTCCCCAACAGTTAGGTCCTTTGGAGGAGATACTGGAAAAAATCAAGAAAAAAAAACAGCTGAGGGTGTTGTATTAGACATTTTCTCAGGCCCTCAAGTCAGTGAATATCAACCACGTAGAGCTAATGCAAACTCCAGACACACATCTGGTTGTGGTGTGAAGAACTGCCAAAAAAGCACAAACCGAGTACAGACAAGGGCAGCACAAAAACCGAAACCCTCTTTTATATTCACCAGAATAGTTTCTTTCAAGAAGAGTGGTGAGTGAATTTTGAGAACGGAAGGAAATTACATCACTCTGCATTTGCTTTTATGGTGCACTTAGTTAACACATGGAAACTTTCTAAAATTGTGAACTGTCAAATCCTTTTTTTTGTCTAGAGACTCTTACCTTGTGAGCAGTCTTCTCCGATGTATCCCTCATCGCAGACACACTGACCGTTCACGCAGTGCCCTTTGTCCTGGCAGTTGTTGATGCAGCTCATCATTGCACAGCTTTCTCCTTCATATCCGATCTCACACATGCATCTTCCGTCGACACAACGCCCCCTGTTGTTGCAGTTATCTGGACAGGTGAGCACGGAGCAATCGTCTCCCGAATAGCCTTCATGACAAATGCACTCTCCGTCAACACAGTAACCGCGGGTCAGGCAGTCGTTGGGACAAGCTCTCTGACTGCAGTCTTCTCCTGCAAACCCTTCGTCACAGACACACTGACCATTGATGCACCGGCCATGGTTCCTACAGTTGTTGGGGCAGCTCAATTCACTGCAGTCCTCACCAGTGAAGCCTGCGTGGCATAAACAACGCCCCTCGGAGCACTCTCCACGGCCGTAGCAGTTTGAAGGGCATGTGCGGATGCTGCAGTCCTCACCAGCGAAGCCTTCCTCGCATACGCATTGACCATTGAGACAGCGCCCCCTGTGCAAGCAGCTGTTTGGACAGGACAGCTCGGAGCAATCGTCTCCCTGGAAGCCAACATCACACGCACACTGTCCATTTATGCACTGGCCTCTGTTGTTACAGTTGTTCAGACATGCCAACTGGCTACAATCTTCACCCTGATACCCTGTGTCACAGATGCACATCCCACTGAAGCAGGTTCCTCTACCGTTACAGTCATTCAGGCAGGTGAGCTGACTGCAGTCTTCTCCACTGTAGCCAGCTGTGCAGACGCACTGGCCATCGACACAGAAACCATTACCACGGCAGTTGTTCGGACAGATGCGCTCTCCACAGTCTTCACCGGCAAATCCTTCATCGCAGTAGCAAGTTCCATTCAGACAGCGTCCACGGTCGTAGCAGTCTTTGGGGCAGATAAGCTCAGAGCAGTCAAAGCCAGTCCACGGTTCATCACACACACAGTCTCCGTCATCACAGCGCCCACGGCCTAGGCAGTTATTGAGGCACTTGCTCTGAGAACAATCTTCGCCAAAGAAACCATCCGTACAGACGCAAACGCCACCCACGCACTGGCCGTGCACGCTGCAGTCCACAGAGCAGGCCTCAAATGAGCAGTCTTCTCCAGCAAAGCCTTTAAAGCACTTGCACTTTCCATCCACACAGTGGCCTCGGTCCCAGCAGTTCTTTGGGCACTCGGGTTCGGTGCAGTTGGGTCCCTTCCAGCCAGGCTCACATATGCAGCCACAGGTTTCAGCGCTGAAGTTTCCATGACCATTACAGTAAGGTTTTGTTCCCACTTCACCTTTAAAAAAAATGCAGCATAACAATGACAAATGCAGTCAGCTTGACATTTGGAGAAAGCATGCTTTTTTGACTTTCTTGTTGAGAGTTGGCAGTGAAGAAAGACTTTTCTGTATGCTATGAAGAGCCAACAGATGCATAAGCGAATGTGTATTTCCTAAAATGCCAAACTATTCCGGCTTATTTTAGCAGTTACTGTTTTCTTGCTTTCATTGGTACTGACAAAACTTTATATAATCCCTTACTGATCCAAAAAATAACAAAAAAACATGCAAAGTTAATAGATGAGCTGGTGTCCTCTACTGTACAGCTAAAATTACACCCCCACGTTAAATTCCAAAGAACTCTCAGCAGATGAAGGGAACAGATGTGACTCATGAACGAGACTTGTGGGGTTACAAAGCACTTTTCATTGCAGGGTCTGATAAATAAAGGATTGTTTTACTTTGCTGGCTCTAACGGGCAAATGTGACTGACACAGCGTGATGGAAAAATTAGACCTACCTTTGACCTGAGCACTGCAGCAGGCCCCTTCACTGTGGCACTGATCCCTCAAAGCTGAAACTTCTCCCTCAAGCATCTCAAGCCGGCTCATGAGGGCTTTTAGACTGGGCAAGTGGTCGGTGCAACCGCAGGCCTGCCGAGGTATGTTGATGCGGTGAGTGAAGACAATCTGGTTCTCCCTGTCGAGCGTGTACTCGGTCATGTGATGGCCTGAGGAGACTGGTGCATCTTTGGGATGAAGGTGCGTACTTTCTGTAGTGTCTAGGTCCACTGAGCACAAGGAACTTCCAGGAACATTAATGTTATAGACGTGGTTGAAAACCAAAGGATCTGCTCTCGGGAGGGTTATGTTTTGATCTTCAGGGGATGCCAAAGTCTGTCGTCGATGCCGTAGGATTTTTTTCACAAGCCCAGCATTTGATAAGGTGAGGCAAGTGATTAGGAGAACGCAGCCCAGAAGGCCTTGTGTACCCATGTTAGATGTGTAGCGCTTTATTAGTGAAATAAATATCCGTGCAAACCTCAGACAAAAGCTCAATCCTGGTTAACGGTGAATGTTCTGGAAAGACAGACAGATACATTGTTACAGCAATGTAGTATTTAATGCTTTGTAGCACAATTAATAAATATATGAGAAAACATCTGAAGAACCGTGTTATACCTGCTCTAATTACAACAAACCAGCAATTGAGATGAAATGTTAACGAACTGAAAGCCATCCACAACATTCAATGCCTCACAAAGTCTTTTAAAACAGTTTTTCATAATGCCTGTCTTTCATAACTATCAACTGTACATGCGAATAGGGTTTGGTGATTTGGTGTAAGTTGACTACATGTGACTAGTTTTGTCTTGTTTAGAGAAAGACAGAAGCTTGAGAGATGGAAATCAGTGCAACATGAACATTTAGGATATGACGCAGTTATTTTTTGGACTGTTTTTTCATCGTTTTTGCTTTGCTGGTGTTAAACAGTCAAAAATAAATATCCAATAAATGTAGTTTTTGATCATTTTTGATAATCTTGTACATAGTTTGCATAATATTTTATTAAAGCCCTGCTTTAAAAAAAACCCCTATTATCAAATAATCCGCAGGTGTCCTGGTAAATCAACTTGCTTCACGGTGTTTGTGTAAATGTAAAAAATCTGCTGTTTTACTCAAAAAATTATAATCCCAATTCTCTAGTGTCCACATAAAATTAGGTATCTGGACACCAACAGCACTATAATTTATGGGAGTAAAATGACAAGCTTCTTCCTCAGCGTGGGAAAGCCCTCTTGGATTACTCAGTGATGAGTTTCCAAATGATCTAAGTTCACACGAGATACTGAAAATCAATAATAGCCCACAGTGGCCGACTCTTCCTCATTACTGGAAAAAATTCTTCCTTCGTGGAGTTTTATGATAGTTCAAAGCTGTGTTATTGTTGCTTAACTGCATTTGCAGGCTTTAGATTTTAAATTCCTTCACTCATCAGTCAATAATCATTGTATCCACAAATAGCCAGCAAATCAAGTCATCCAGATAGGCCCTCAGGTTCACACGCTTGTCTGCTGGCACACCTGGGAGGCAGCAAACAATACCTCTATAAAGAAGCTGCATTTCTGGCAGCACAGGAGGATTTTGTCCAGACTCTTTCATTGGTAGCAAACCTGCACATGCAAACCAGTGAAAAATTACTTCCAAAAATGCAGTTATGGACTTAAAAAGACATGTGGTGCACCTGGATTTATGTTCTCCCGAGAGTTTCTGGAAACTGTTTATTGACACAATGATCAGCTATCGCATAACGGAAAGTATCTTCAGAAAAGCTTCAGCTGAGCTTTTGCTGGATCTCAGGGTTGCCATGACTGCACATTCATATATTTATGACCAAGAAGTATTTTATCCTCTGAGACAAAAAATCAAAACACCTGTGGCTGATCCTCATCCTCTTAAAGCAACACAAGAAAGCCTAGATATACATAAAACTACTTGCAGTAACACACACAAAAAAAATATTGAGACCTATACCAAGAACAAAATCTGCCTCACAATTTTGTAGAAAAATCTAAAGGTGGGTAACAGTAAAATATATAACCACCGGATTACCTTGACTCAAGATGTCATCTGAGCTCAGAAAAATTATAGTTCCTTGTTATTGCACATCAAGCGGTTCACTGTTAATGTGCGTGTTAACTTTGAGAGTAAAATATGAATATATTTCTTTTAAAATATGATGGACTCTCTACAGGTTGTGCTGAACCTTCCTGTGAGGAAGCACAAAGATTTTATATTTGGGAAGAACCAATAAAATAGAATAAGCTGGTAAAGGAATCAAGAGTTGTTGGCTTTCGTCAAGGACTTTTTGAAACAGTGAAAACAGTTTGAAAACTTTTGCAGTGATAGCTGAATGTTTCCCTTGTTTTTTATTGTTATACTTAGATGACAGGCAGCATGGCTATCTTTAAATCGCAATGGTCGCACGCAATACAAAGGCTGTAAAAATGTTGCTACTTCAGAGATATAGGTTTGAAGGTAGGGCTTTTTCATCGGTCCTCTTTCCTTTCCTTTATCATGACCACCTTTGACCTGACCTGGCTTCTGTCCCACACCCCCTGCCAGCATTTTCACTGTTCTTCATCTTACCTGTTTAAACGCCCATATAAAATCCCAGCTTAAGTTTCACGAGGCTCTCACACATCTGGTGAGCGGCAGGATAAAGGTAGGTTACGATTAAGGTTGTAAATCTGAACTCTTGGTCTTACAATGTGTTTGTGATCTACTTCTTGAAACCTTTACAACACATATCACTTGTAATTTACAGTCAGTCTGGCAAAAAAAAAAAATCTTCTTGATAATGCCCACAGGTAGCTCACTGTCACTAACATAACTGTACAATATGGACTTTTTGAAATAATAAGCAGAGGAATTCAACATATTTTTAAGAAAATACTGGCTGGTAACCCTTTTTCATTGTAAGACTAATTGAAGTTAATTAGTTGAATTAATAAATTGTTTTGATTCATTTCTTCTAACTGGGTGCACTTTTCCATGTTGCACAGAGCAGAAAAAACATTCTTAAAATAAGAGGTGCAAGCAAGGCACGCAGTGCTTGTGTAGCGAGATCTAAAAACAGACATCAATTAAAATGTCAAAGTTAAAGTGATCCTTCTCCTTTCATCTCAAACAACATTCTGTCGTTAAAGCTTCTGGCCTGTTTGCATTCATCCATCATATAGCTATAGTTGGCAATAGTCTCTGGAAGCAGGATTAACTCCACTTGTGTCCAATTCCACAGGAATCTGTAGTGCACCTCAGTTTTTGCAAAGGTCTTCTTTCCATTATCAATCGCTTGAGCTTGTCAAGTTGGGAAATAACACCTTTTTCTGGTTGATGTGCGTTCATAGTCCTCCATCTGTCTCTAATGGGAGATTGATGGGAGCATAGTAGATAAGCTCTGAGATCAGCTAGCATCAGTGGGTTATGCGGTAATAGAAGTAGCATTAGAAATGACTTAGTGACTGCTTGGCCAATATGTATATATAATATATAGAAGAGTTAGAATACAGTGTGAAAATGTTTTTAATAACTCCATCAGCACGTTAACAAGAAACGCCTTGTTTTTGCTCCACTAGCATTTTAAAATTAGCATCTATGAGAAAAGTTTAACGAACAGTGTTCCTCATACACCACCTTTATTTTTCATTAATATTCTCAATTATTAATTAAATTAATTAAAATAATTGTTAATTGTTAATTAATTTTGAACAACCTGTTTATTTGTTTCTTTTTACATTAAATTTTTTTTTTAATATACTTTTTTCAAAATCAAGCTGTAAATCCGGGCAGCACGGTGGCACGGTGGTTAGCACTGTTGCCGCACAGCAAGAAGGTCCTGAGTTCACTTCCACCATCAGGCCGGGGTCTTTCTGTGTGGAGTTTGCATGTTCTCCCCGTGTTTGCGTGGGTTCTCTCCGGGTACTCCGGCTTCCTCCCACTGTCCAAAGACATGCAGCTTGTGGGGATAGGTTAATTGATTAATCCAAATTGTCACTAGGTGTGAATGTGAGTGTGAATGGTTGTCTGTCCCTGTGTGTTGGCCCTGCGACAGACTGGCGACCTGTCCAGGGTGTACCCTGCCTTTCGCCCTATGACAGCTGGGATAGGCTCCAGCGCCCCCCGCGACCCTGAAAAGGATAAGCGGAAGCGAATGGATGGATGGAAGCTGTAAATCTGTGTTTGAGCTCATTAGCAGGTGTTTATTTACAAATACATGATCCTCCCAGGATCCTTTTGATTGCTGATTAAACAAAATATAAATTATTAACATAAGCTCAACCTAAAGCTTCTAAAGCAGTTATTATATATATTTATTAATCCATATAACATTGCTAAAAAAATTGTGTTTTATTGTTACTTGTACTGAAGGAATGGTTCTAAAAAATTCTACTGCACTAATAGTAAATAGTTTTTTAGCCAGGAAGGATTGCAGAAAACGTGCAGCAAGCTGCATGAGGCAGCTGTGAAAGTGCAAAAGGCTCTGACATGTCACTCATATATCAGTAATTGTAAATTATGTGCACATTAACGCTAACTTAAATTTTACATTTTAAATTTCAGACTTGAAATAACTTCAAAGGCTTTTTAAAAAGATAACTGCCAGCACATTTTTTCTTTTTTGTAACTTTTCAAAACCAGCGGAAACTTTGTTTATATAAGTGTGACCTGATGTTTTTGTTAAACTACTGAGAACGGTAGTGCTTACAGTACAACGCCAAGAACACATCATTCAGAGAAGCCCTGGGGTTGACCAAGGACATCTCCTTTGACTATGGGACATGGGAAGACAATTTAGAGAGAAAATTGAAATAAATATAACCTGTTCACTAAGCTATAATCCAGTTCCCATAGCTTTAGTATCCTTTCCCCATGCTGGCAGCTAAAAGGGAACTTTCCCACGTGGAAAAGAGAAACTGGGAATGTTGGCCCTGGGCTGATCACATCTGTTTTGCCTAGTCAAACTGAAATAAAGGCAATGAGGTTCTCGTCTTATGTCCATATAATAGCTCAACATTTGGCGAGCCAAAAGTGCTACTGCATGCAGATTTAATGCTAAACACAAGCAACCATTAACAGATTGTATGTGTAGCAAGTCTGGACACAGTCCGTATGGAAAACATTTGTGGTTGACAGCTTTGTGTCAGGATTCAGTCAGTGGTCAACAAGAAACGAGTGCATCCAGTTGTTCATCTGTGATATATTAACATTTCTATTTTTTCCATACATTACAAAGTACAAAGCCCGATTCTCGACAGCATCAGAAACAGCTGGAAATCATCTCAGGAAAGGTAATTAGAGTAGTTAATGTAGCTGATACAGTAAGAGAAATAGCAGCACCTCATTAGCAGATTACAAAGTTTCCCACTGTAGCATGGCAGATATTATCCTGTGGGACCAAAAAGCAGTTTCACTGTGTCTGCAGGTGAGCCTGACTAGAATGCAGACTTTCAGCAATTTCAGTAGCAGTTACTCTGTCTCTGCAAAAATAAACATTTTTTAAAAAGTAATTTTTTTGATTTTGCATGCTCTTAAATGCAGATATGTGCTTTGTTATATATGTTAATAAATGGAGGAAATACTATGCAAGTGTCTAAATGTGTCATTTTAAATTAGTTAATCTGCTGTGAGTGAGTGAAGCGTGGGCATTTTACTGTTGTGCATGTTACCAGCAGATATTTCCTCCATGAACAGGCACGAACAGAAACAACCATCTGTGTCGGTCCCGCTTATTAGCAACATACCTGATTTTAGACAGTGTGGGAGATTTACAGTGTTAAAGTCTCACACTCTGACACAGTCACAGGCCTGAAACAGAGCCTGCAGTTATGTGATAGAAAACATAGATTTATTGATGTGTTGTATAAATTAACTTGTTGACTTTTAACCTAAAAGAAGGAAAGACTTTCATTAAACCCAGTTCACTGCTCTAGCTAACCTTCAGCTGCTCGAATGAATCCTGAAACTTGACAAAGAAAGACAGAAAAAGAAACAGGAACCAAAATATAATTTACATAAACTAAAGAGGCATGAGTTATGACCCCTGACTCTGTGTGTCAAAGTCATGTAGAGGGAAACAGTGTCATATGAGCCCTCTGGGAGCTCCGGCTATTAAACCAGCTGTCCCTTTGACACGGACACCTTTCTCACTCGGCTGCACACAATCATCCCAGGACACACGGCACATAGCAGAGAAAATACAAAAAAATACTCTCCTAAATAGCTATAGCTGTATATGATGGGAAACAATGTGCCTTCTAGGTATGAGCTGAAGTAGCGTGGGTGAGGGGGATAAAACTGCACATCAGAGGAACTGAATGATTATAATCTCATTCAGCTGAAATATTCCTTTCTGCTGAATGTGGACTGGAACTGGTGATTCAAACCACACAAAGGATGAAACAGAAGTTAAAACCACTGACTTTGACTTAAATTTCAATTAAGCATAGCTAATGGACTGAGTGGTTGAAGGATGTAATTTTTTGATTTCTCTTTACCCATGCTGGCAACGTCACTAGCATCGCCTATTTTTCCTTTCATTTAATCTCAGTGGTGGAAAAATGATGCACGATGAAGTCTGAACTGCATTGCCCAGAGTAATATGATGAATCATCAGGCTGCAAACCTCACCAGACACAGGGATATTTGTGCATTTTTTTGGCCCCGTGCAGAAACACACACTCACACACACACACATAGCTGTTATTTTTATATTTTCTCCCAGTACTGATCTACAACCTGACAACATTTTTTGCAAGGGTCTCTTTTTGGCACAAAGTGCGCTGGCCATTCTACGGAGGCGATCAAAGCCTGGGATAACTCTTCCACATGTTCACTCCCACAGCAGTCAGTCATCACCGCTGCTCCCAGCACTGGCTGCTGTGTGAGTCTGACAGAGGAAGAAGTTGCAGTATACACCAAGAATGCACTTCCAATAAATAATAATTGTGCCTTTTGGTTCTGTAGTATGCGTCACTCGTGCAAGTTGACTACTTTCACTTAAAAACAAAAGGAAATGAGAAAACTGACCTTTCAAATAATTGTTTACTCAGAGAAATTCATAAATAGATCTTCTTACCTGTTTTTTTTGTCACAAGCCCCCACGGGTAACATGAGGTGCTCCTCCGGGTCTTCACAAATTTAGTGAAGCCAAGAAAAAAGATGATGCTTCGCTCTGTTGTGTCACTGCTCCGTCATACAGCCTCTCCAGCAAGGTGGCAGCTCTGTCAGTCCAGCTCTTTATCCTCCCTCACAGTTCACAGCTCAGGCTGGGGTTCAGCTGAAAGAGGGAGTAAGTGAAAAGCGGGAGACAGGGAGTGAGAAAGAGAGAGAGAGAGAGCGAGAGAGAGTGAGAGAGAAAGAGTGGGAGGAAATGTCTTTTAAAGTGTGAGGAGTGTTTAGGTCAGACTCCCATTGCTTTAAACCCGAGCCCTTAAATAGTCGTTTTCTCCCTCCCTTCACAGCCCCGTCTTCCCTCCCTCTGCTGTAACTGATGGATACAAGGGCTGGTCTGCTTCCTTTAAATGAGATGCCACTGTAGCCGGGAGTCATGACAGAGTGAGCGGTGCTTGTGGTTGTGTAGGGAAATTAGAGGGGAAAGCCAGGCAATAAGAAGAAAGTGAAGGAAGACCGTAGACAGCAGACAGACAGTAGCTTTCAACTAGACTCACTTTGCAATAATGATTTATGATTTTCTCATACATCATTAAGGCTGCAAAAATAAATCCCAATCTTTGCTCAGCATGCTCAAACTGTCATTTCATGTTACCCCTCCATCGTCAGTCTCCACTTATTTCCATGCTTCACTCTAATCCTCCTTGAAATACAAGTCTTTCTCCAGCTCTGTTAGAGTATTAAACCAAAGATGAGAAAAATCAACAAAATACATGATTTCTGATTAAATACTTTCGGTATCTATCCAATTATATAATAAAGGTGATGGATAAAAGTCAAAATGAAACAGTGGAGGAAATCTCTTAAAGGAAGTGTTTTGCTACCATACACATATATTTCATATGAAGTCATTCATTTAACACATTTAACTGAATAGGTGAGAAACAAACATGTGTTAATGGAATTCATCTTGTATCTTGCAGTCACCACAGACAGGAATGCAATAACTGCAAGACTATAAATATATAAATATAATATAAACTATATAAAGACTAAATAACTGAAGCCCAGGGAGAGAAAAAGCAATGTGCCAGCATATGGAAGCAGCTTCCACAGTTTAATCTTAATATGATTAGATGAGGATAAGGGAAGAATCGGCTTAAATCTTTTAAGTGAGTCCGTGGGACTGTTAAGATATACAGTTTGCAGTCTGTTGTGAGTGGAACCTTTGAATGATAATGTTCTGAGTTTCTACTTGGACACATTCTGTGAAGACATGACAGAAATGGGTTACATCATACAAAGACTAAATTATTTAAAGGTTTTATTAGCAGCATGGCTGTAGGGATAGCTCACTGATACATTAGTCATGTCAGTCCAAAACAAAATATTGTATCTCAGTGATTATTGCTACTGCTGTTATTCCGACTCTAAACACCTCCACTATTGAGATTGGAGATTCTTTGACTTTCTATCAAACAGTTATGCTTTGGCAGCATCATTGTTTCACTATATGCCTAAATACGAACCTGTACCAGTCCATGAGTCGTTTGGTAACGGGCTGTGAGAGTTGAGGCACGGGTGTGAAATTTATGTTTTTTATGATTTGTATCATTTTAAAAAAAAAAATCATTTTTCATTTACTCGGTTTCCCTGGATTTTCCCCCTGTGTTATGTATAAATCTTCTTTTTTTTGGGTACTAGTACTGGTTTTATTTTGTTGTATTTATCTGCGACACTTTAAAGGCCAGAAAATATTGTCGGACATAAACCAGTCCGTGGCGCAAAAAAGCTTGGGGACCGCTGGTCTACACAACACTAAGCAGCACTTGAGGTCAGTGAGCTTTGAAATATATCTGTGCACAGTCAAGATCACGCATCTTTTAAATCCTACAAAGTGTATAAGAAAATGGTACTTAGGCTTGACTTTTGTAAACACTTTCCTAATGTCTTCACTCAGTAGCACCCATTATAGAATTTCTTTTTATGTTTCATTCTGAGTTTCAGAAAGACGTATCCGTAGGCTGCACAATTCATTTAAAATTTTAGCCACAATCACAGTTTTGCATTCCCACAATGAAAAGGCGATTTCCAAACAATATCTGAAATAGCCAGTGCAATCATTTTCCACTTGTCCAGTAAACACAGTGAGTGATAAGTACTCACTGGCAAAGCCTGTGCTGTAGGAAACACATTGCGGTGCAAATAAAGAGGCATCTCACAGGTGTTGAGTGCTTTGCTACGATTTTTTATTCACATCCATCATATAGGATCAATTAATAGAGTGAAAGACTCTATTTTCCTGTAAGAAGACACACTTAAACTAGGTGAATGAACATGAAGACTCCTTTACAGGGACGTAGGACACTATAAAAATGAAAGCACTGTTTTCATGAGAACATGCAAAACTGTCAGAATCACCACAAAGACAGTGTCGTCTGCATATTTGAGAAGTGTCATGTTCTCCATGTTACAGGTTATATCGTTTGTGTTAATTGAGAATTAAAAAAAAAACACAAAACAGTTAGTGTGGATGAATGATAAATGGACTGATTCTTATGTAGCTCTTTCTACTCTCCCAGAGTACTCAAAGCACTCTATACTACGTGTCACATTCACCCAATCACACAAGCACTTTCTTCTAAGATTTCTAACATTCATACACAGATGGATGCATCAGAGAGCAACTTAGGGTTAGTACCATGCCCAAGGGTACTTGGCATGCAGACTGGAGGAGCCAGGATCAAACCACAAACCTTCCGATCAGTAAATGACCTGCTCCACCGCCTGAGCTACAGCCAAGGAAGTAAATGGTTGATGGAGGCTCAATATCTGAGCAGTGGAGATTAACATCACTGTCTGCTACCTTTTTTCCTTCTTTTGTTTTTGTCTCTTGCCTGTCTTGACATAGACATTGTCATACTATTTCACATATAATGCAATAGCTGAAGTAACACAAAAAGAAAGGAATAAATAAACATAGTAAAGAGTCCCAAGAACAAGAGGAGCCTGTAGAGATTCTATGCAGGAGTTCTTGTGAAAGCAAAATGTGTTTGGCACCACCGTGCATTCAGATCGCAATTCTGATTGCAAACCTGCCAGACGGCACGGGATTCAAAAAAGGGGAAGAAAGGAAAAACACTTTCTGTCTGCTCATAGGATACCAGTTCTTTGTGAGTCTCTGCATGCTAGCAAGAAGCTAGTCATTAATAACTGAGAGTTGTGTTAAAGCCGAGTGTCTGCCAATCCCAGACCAGCAGTCAGATATTCAACGGGTAGCAAATGAGTTTGAAGGTTTGAAGCATTGCAGCCTCAATTTTACCCACAATTCAGTCCCCAAAGTCATCTTTGAGTCATAGAGTCACCTCAAGACGTTTTACTGTGCAAGTTAAATATCCTACAAATAAAAAAATGAAAAATCTAAATTTTGCAGATAAATTTTATATAAATTATATTAAAAAAATATGAAGGATGTTAGAGTCTGTTGATCCAGGTTCACCTCATCTTCTTTGTTACTGTGTTTAAATGAGATACTAGACTCATATTGATGTACAATAACATTTGGATAAATTATTTTTTTCATTGCAACTCAACATTGCTGCTTTTTCGTGTATAAATGAATTGTTGATTTGTGAGGCTTTTTTTTGCTTTTCTTACAACAGTGCAATACTATTACAGCTCCATATGGTGTTTACATTTCTGAACAAAATGTTAAATGTGATTTGAAACAGACATCTGCATTCTCCAAGCAAAACAAAACAAAATCCAGTCGATAAAGGTAGGTCTGGCTTTGTTGCTGAGAAGAAAAGGGAACCTCAGAGGGTTCAGTTAATGGACTAAAACCATAAACCCGGATTATTACAATGGCACAAAGTAGATTTGTCACTTTTCATTGCAGGACAGTCTGACAAGGAACAAGAAGACATGTCTGGACTTCAAGATCCTGTGATGCAAGGAAATATTTACATGTTCAACAGGAAGTTTAAATATATGCTGAAGAGAGTCCACTCACAGCCTGAGGAGAAACTCAATAAATCTATCAGCATTCATAAAATTAAATCTTCTCCCAAGCATAAAAAGGCCCCAGGGATTTGGTCTGAAGGGGAACCGTGCAGATGGACAAAATGTCTGTGGAATGAAGTAAATAGTTGACACTGTGGTCCCCTTTAATTTAAGACTGCACATGTGTTTCACATGTTCTACACACTGCAATACGGCTCATTTGGATCAGGCACAAACCATTTAACGTTTGGTAGCCGCTGCTACGGAAACTATAAACAAATGTCCGTTATGATTGCAACTGAAGAATGTCTGCCACCAATGGATCAAAACAGTTAAACAACCATGTCTCCGACTTCCAAGACGCCAACACAGCAGCTCTGTGAGGCTGTACTTAGGACCAGCTGTGCTTTGACTTAATGTTAATGTCAGCAGGCCAACACGTAATAACAATAATGCTCGTAATAACAATGCAAGGATGCTAATGTTTAGCAGGCACATAAAGTTCATCACTTCAGGTTATCATGTTAACAGTTGCTTACTCAAAGCATATTTGGCTTCTTTTTACTAGCTTAACCTAAATCAGTTAAAAATAAGCCAAGAGATCATCAAATGAATTTGTCCTCACAGTAACAATTATGATTTATCAGTAACAAACTTCATATTTGTTCTCTCAGAACCACAAATGGGAATCTCATGGTGGCTCAAAGAGAAAGGTCAGGGACCACAGTCACTAAATCACCCACTGAGGTCCAACCACAGCTGTTTATTGCAGTGCTTCCAAAGGTTTTTCAGTCTGGACTAACCAACTGACGGACAAGAGAACTGTCACCACAACAGCCACACCTACACAGCTTTAAATTATGCACGGCCATAACAACTCACAACATCATCACTTTGGTCAAATTATAGTATAGACGACACTAAGAACATGCTCTGAGCTTTAAGTAAATGTTCAGAATTCAGCTTAAAATTAAGGTTAAAAAAACAAATGAACAGCAGCTTACATGCACAGAAAGCATCCTGTGATTACTGGCTGAAGTACATAAAAACACTGGTTCCATGACAGAACAATAATCTGGTGTGATTTTGATTAATGCTATCATTTCTTTATTCAAAAAAGCCAAAACTATACAAGCTTCAGCTTCTCGGTTCAACTCATAAGAT